TTAACAGTAGATTATCTCTTGTTGATTTATGCGTAAGTTTGTTCTAATCTCAAAGTAAAAACGATGAGGAGATCACCAACTAACCGTATTCTTAATTAGTATGTTTTGTGATATTGGACCATCTGGCCTAAGAGTCCTGTTGTGCAGGTAAGCTTTAAATCGCTACCTAAATAGAATAAGATAATGATATGCTCAGAAGTATCTAAAGCAGAAGATGATGTTGAACATAATCTCACTGAAGTACTATTTTTCATGTATTTATAACAAATGAAGAAATTTTTTTATATTCTCAGGCGCAGCAATCAGGAAGGGCTAGCGCAGACTCAACGGCAACCTGCCAAAAACTTATGGGAGATCTGCTGGCTATTTTCAATGTACTTCCCAAGGACATGCAGCAACTTCTACTTTTAAACCCTCAAAAGGCGGCTCTTCTAAAAGGAGCTCCTGAACATACAAAACTTCCCGGGCGCCCGCTTGCACAAGTTGAGGTTGTATCATCAACATCACCAAGATAGAGTTCCAAACTGGCTGGGGATCAGTTGCCTCTGATATCAATTATCGTCGTGTGCCGCCAAAGGACAGCACTTGTGATTAAATTTGTTGCTTCCTTCTGTTTCTGGGCTGAGACAACTTCCCTAACTTCAAGATCCATTTTTCTATTAGGTAATTGATCGGTACTCGGTGCTTATTTCCTTCCTAGTGATATCCAAAGTTGTTCATTTCATTTTTATTTTTATTTATTTTTTTTTGTTGTTGTAACTTTCCTCCTTTGTAAACACAGATGTGCCGAGAATCAAAGTACTGTCAAATGAGTGATCCTTTTCACAGTAAACTTGAGGTGATTGATAATCTTTTCAATCGTTGTTGAAACATTGGCGTTGATTAGAAGGTAAAGATCCATATAACATTTGTATTTTCAACAGTGTGCAAGCTAGTACTTTGTCAAAAATACTTGGGGCACAACCTCCCACTTGTAGTTTGCCTCAATTCAACATCGTTTTCAGCCCTCCCTATCAGAAAGTGAAAGATGAGTTTTTGGTTTGTTTTGGTGTGTAAGTGTTGTTTATTTCGCTTTACCAATATGAGTGTTTTTGTTTCCGGCCATAGTAATCAGTACAACTGCTGAAGTTACGGCAACACGCTCACATGAGGTGGGCCGGGGAGGGGGCCTATCTCATGTAAGTGTTTGCTGTATATTATCTCATGTAAGTGTTTGCTGTATATGGGCAGCCGGGTGGAAGAATGTGAATACACTGCTATTGTGGCGTCTTAATTCTTGAACCACTAATACCAAGCCATATTGAGCAAGTCTTTGTGACGTTGCAGTAGTAGTTTGGAGGCTACAGTGCCGATAAACTCGTTGTCCCTTGGGCATCTAAGGACATACAAATAGAAGTAACCGTGACAATTTCCTACACTACCTATTAGTTCAACACAAAATAACATGTTTCGGGTCAACCTGTTAACGATCCAGGTCGTTATTGGGCCATCCATTAAGAACTCGTTAACAAGTTGGGTCGTTATCGGATCACTCGTTAAGAGCCTAATAAGATATTGTTTATCATATTTAGAGATTAGACATGATAATTTTTTGTATAACCCTACACGATCTGTTAACAAATAGGGTCGTTATGGGTCATCTGTTTATCATATTTAGAGATTAGACATGATAATTTTTTGTATAACCCGACACGATCTGTTAACAAATAGGGTCGTTATGGGTCATCTGTTAATATTTTTTTAAAATAACGAGTTTGACACGACATGATCTATTAAAATAACAGGTATGACACGAAAACAACAAATATGACAGGAGAACGATACGACACGACATGATCTATTAAAATAACAAGTATGACACGAAAACAACAAATATGACAGGAGAACGATACGACAACGCGATTCGTTAGCCAAGTCCAGCATATGCCAATATGGAATAACACTGGCGCCAACTTCGTCAGAGCTTTCTAAGATGGGCCCAAGACGGCAATTTGTTGACCCTTCGATTGCAGAATATTGGTGGGGTCCTTGAAGTTCAAGTTGGCCCTTTGATTGCAGAAAGTATGCAGCACTTTTTACCGCAGTAATCTTTTTTGTTACCTGAGCATGGCCAAGTGACCAACAAAGCAACAACCGAGCAGTGTGTATTTTTTTGGGGTTAAAGATCCTTTGTGAAAGGGAAAGGAAAAGAAATCTTGGAAGTAAAGTTTGGACCACAAATCAATCGTAAACCGTTAATTAATATGTCAATTTGGTGAGCAAATAATTGACTGTTGAACATGACACCGTTGATAATTGTCTACCCTCAAAATCTGATGAAGATTTCGTAGATTATTCCTTTGGAGAGTTGCAATTCTCAAATATTGATGGGTCATCATTTTCTCCACTACATATATTTTTGTTGACTCTCAATATCTTCAGGTCCTTGATGAGATAAACTTGTGTTAGGGATACCGGATTAATTAACTCGTCTGTAAGTGCTTTCAAAAGCATTTTAAGTACTTTCTGTAAGAAGCATCAATTATTTGTTTATTGTAAGAAGCACTTCAAATGATTTTTTTTCATGATTCATTTGCATTTTTACAAAGGACTGGTTTCAAAAGCACTTTTTTAAAAAGTGATTTCAGCCATTTTAAAGTCACTTTCAAACGAGATAGTCACTTCAAAGTGAATTTTCCCAAGATATATCAATTCAGTTAAATTTTGAACCTATTCCCAATATATGGATTGTGCCAAAGGTTCAAGATTCAAAAACAAACTTTTATCTGTTTATTAGAAGAAGAAGAAGAAAAAGTACATAACTCGCAAGAATTTATTCGAAATGCCTTTATATTTCTAAAATGTTGAATAAATGTTTGACATCTATGCGAAAATGTTTAATTTTCTCATGGAAAGTCTCACAAAAACATAATGTTTTATGTATTTTGGTCATATACAATCTCACGTTGATCCAACATGATGTGAGAAGTGTTCTAATCACACAGGTCTACAAATTAATTTCGCAGATTAATCGAATACATCTTGTTATCTATCATTAGTGGGTTGGAATTTTATGCATTTGTTTGAAGCCACAAACCGCGTTAATCACTAGAAAATGATTAAGATGGTTGACATGATGTTTAGGACAAGTTTTCAATTCTCAGCCATATTCAAAGGTCTAATCTCATATATAGATTCACAACATAATTCTAAATCTTAACATTCAAACTCGTTTTATTGTTACACACAAAAAAAATTACCACGAGTTACTATGAGATTCTTTTTTGGTTTTGTTTTTCATCAAAAAGTTCATGACATACCTTTATGTTCATCGAACATGGAAATTGATCATCTCCGGATCTCTTCCACTTAATCCTACTTTTTAAATAATCCGGACCTTTGAAATTTGATGTAATGACTAAAGTTATTATAATTTTTAGGGTGGGCCTCTGTTTGTAGCCGTTTAATCAAATTTCAAGGGTTCAGATTGTTTGATAAGGATGATTAGGTGGAAGGGATCCGAAGAAGATCCCTTTCCGTCGAACATAATTAACATGCCTCCTTTCTCTCATTCCCAAACTCTCCCATTATATATAATATATAAAGGCTAAGCGTAAAAGAAATAGTGTCACAGATCTGTCTTCTATATATAGGTTAAGCGTAAAAAAATTAGTATCATGGATCTGCCTCATATGTGTGTGTGTGTGTGTGTATGTAGTGGTACTATCCATACACATATGTACTTCTTACACACTCTTTTTAATTTTTAATCGTCAAATAGAATGAATAAAAGAAAAGTAATAGATAAATTTAACAAGGATATGTGCAAAGTAAAATAAATGTGTAAAGCCTGTGTATATAATGAGAGTGTTTGGAAACGAGAGAAAGGAGGAATGTTAGGTTCGATGAAAGTAAAATTGGCAATAATGCATGTTGGTCTAATTGATATGATATCTCTTTTCCAGGGTTGGAGTTATATGGGGGCGCATTTTAGCAACTTGAAATGGAGAATTGGCCACGTCTCAGAGATAGAAAAACGGATCTGACATCTCTCTCTCTGTGTGTAAAAAAATAAAAATAGTTACCAATTCACCGGAGAATCTGATTTCTCAACACTTTGCAGTTTTAATTGAGACGTGCAGTTGTACTGTCAAAGAGTTAGTGTTTTTACAGAGAAAAATTTACATGCACTCGTGTACATGTAATAATTTTTTTTTTAAATATACACATAGTTATGCGTCTCTCGCATTTTGTTGTATGCAATAGTTAACGAGTACATGTAAGATTTTTCTCTGATAAAAAAAGGTAATGCTAAGTAAACCAAAATTTTGAACTAAATTTGAAAACTAAATGATATGTTACCAATATACAATAAGCACGTTACACTTAAGTAATAATTCAATCATTAACAACCACATCATCATATGATTTACAAAATTTGGTTTAAAAATTAGATCTCTCTAACATTATCAGATAAAATAATATCTAAGTTTTGAACAGTAACTAGGCTGCTCGGATTGGTTTCTTTAACTTTAACAGGATTATTCAGATCATGTTGCTATATGTACTCGATTATAGTTGAGAACTGAGGTTGCATGTGATGTTAGTAGTTTGAGAATTTCTATGGGCCTCCAAAAGTTCCTCAGTTTCACCCCCTCCATGATTGCCATTCTCTCTCTCTCTTCACCGGCAGTAAGTGACTCAGAAAACAGTGAGAGAGGAGAGAGAGAGAGAGAGAGGGAGAGAGAGAGAGAGGGAGAGAGATTTTTTGCTCAAGCTTCTCCTAGATGACAAAGAACCCATCCCTTCAATTCTAAAGTGGTCCTCTTTTCTCGACTGAACTTGACAACCTCTCTCCTTATCCTACACATACCTTCTCTCTTTTGTTCCCTACCCCTCTAATCCTACGCACCCCCTCTCCCTCTCTCTCTCTCTCTCTCTCTCTTTCTCTCTCTCTCTCTCAAACCCCCACTAACCAGAAAGAAAAGTGAATCCAACTCCTCGCCATTTTCACCATTTTCCCATTCTCTAGCTACACCAACAGCTAGCTTCTTCAACAGGTCCTAGTTCTGAAAACCCTAATTCTCCAAACGTAAAAAACCATGTCGAGTTCTAGCGTTTGGAACAAAGAAGAAGATAAAGAGTTCGAGAACGCAATTGCCATGCATTGGATCGATGAAAACTCGAAAGAAATGTGGGAAAAGATTGCTGAGTTGGTTCCAAGCAAGAGCATGGGAGAGTTGAAGCAGCACTACCAAATGCTAGTCGACGATGTGGGTGCAATCGAGGCGGGGCGCGTCTCCCCGCCTAACTACGCAGTTGATGAAGCTGCTAATACACTATCGTCTAGTAAGGACAGTGGTCATCGTGCTTCTTCTTCCGGTGCTTCGGCTTCGGATAAGAGATTGAACTGCGGTCACGGAGGTGGGTTTTCGGGTTTAGGTCATGACTCCGCCGGCCATGGCGGTAAGGGAGGGTCGAGGGCGGACCAAGAGAGGAAGAAAGGGATTCCGTGGACTGAAGAAGAGCATAGGTACACTCTTCCTATTGCTTTTGCTCGTATCTAAATCTCTATTTTCAAATATCGTTTCAAATATCGTCACAGTGACATTCCAGATGCGTTTAATTTTCTTATTTATTAATTTAGAAGGCTTTGCCTGTAAGTTTGGAGTTAGGTCAAGCCAGATTCAGGAACGAAAAACCATGTGGGTTGCAGTGATGAATCTTTTTCCACCATTTGATTTTTAGGAACTGTAGAACTGACAAAATTGATGAAATCAATGTGAGGGGATAAGAAAAGTGTAGGCAATTTGACATTATTAAATTCACAAATTAATGTGGAGAAAACTTGTTACCGCCTGTCTATTGCCCCCTTAGTTCTGTTTCCGATTAAAAATTTGTAACCGGTTTTATTTTTCATCAGGTTATTTCTACTTGGTCTTGACAAGTTTGGGAAGGGCGATTGGAGAAGCATTTCAAGAAACTTTGTCATTTCCAGAACCCCAACCCAAGTAGCAAGCCACGCACAAAAATACTTCATCCGTTTGAACTCCATGAACAGAGACAGGAGGAGATCAAGTATCCATGACATTACAAGCGTCAACAACGGAGACGTCTCGTCTCACCAGCAGCCGCCAATTACCGGCCAACAGACCAACACGTACCCACCTAGTGCAGGCACCGCGATAAGAGTAGGAGGACCACAGACGGCCAAGCACCGGCCTCAGTCACACATGGCAGGTTTAGGGATGTATGGAGCACCGATGGGGCACCCGGTTTCTGCTCCTCCGGGACATATGGCGTCCGCGGTGGGCACTCCGGTTATGCTCCCTCCGGGCCACCATCCTCACGCCCATCCTCCATACGTCGTCCCAGTTGCTTACCCAATGGCACATCCAACAATGCACCAATAACAAAACAATAATTTTCTTCTTTTTTATTAGGGTTTTCAGGTCTCTGGTGGATTTGAAGGGGAATAATAATACATAGTAGAGCACAAGGCAGAGCAGAGAGCAGAAGAATCACAGACATATATATATATATCCACATTTCTGCAGTACTGATTTCTATTCGAATCATGTTTTTTTTTTTCTGTAAAAACATTCCGAATCTGCATTCGTCGTTGTAAATATAGATTTGTTATCGGGGGTCTTGCCGGAATAGATTCATCAGATAGAGAGAAGGAGAGATCTGTACCCGAATTGAAATTCATAAGTTCTGATGATAATGTATGATTAAAACATCATCGCTTGGCAGAAAAGCAAAAGGAAGCGATATCAACATATCATTCCCGAGCTACCTGTTCACAAAAATGCATCAAACTACACGAGGAAGCATATGTGGACACGATCAGCAGAGTCGATCACCAACCCTTCTGTGTTACATGGAAATGCCCGTTTAAAAGATGATACAACAGAGCTTTCCTTCCCCATTTCCAAAACAATGGTGCCACAGCCCGCCGGCTCTTCTTAATTTGCTTTTCTGCAGGGATAGAAAGGAAAGTGAACTCTTTTACCCCCTCCCCTTGCTAAATTAACTCCACACAGCGGAAGGAAAGAGAGAGAGTTCCTCACCTTTGTTTTGAACAGAGTGCATTTTCAATTGTGACTGCAGTTTCGTAAGGCTGGATCCGAGAGCAGGCCAGTATTTCTTTTGAATTTCAAGGACCTCCAGAACGGTTTGTAGGCCAGATCTGGAAGGTAAAGGGGTGTCCAATTCACATCCTGGACTTTCACCCAGCAATACCTATCTCACAGAGAGATAAATCAGAAACATATTTCACATATCCAGATAGAAATGTATTTCGGTTTTTGCGTGGTGTTGTGTGAAATGGTTACCTTAATTACTGCAGTAGCAGAAGACGATATTGAACGGAGATTGTAACTGCAAAAAGCAACATTATCCAATTAAGTTAGAAACATATCTGCAGCAAGGTGTGATCCACTATGAGAAAACCAAAAACAAAAGAACGAGTCACAAACCCGCCCTCAAGAATAACAAGCATCTTTCCTCCAGACAAGTCAGACAACATGTGTGTCATCTTTTCATAGCCTGCAGGAGTAACCTACAACAACAAAAAATCATTAAAAGATAAACACACTAAGAGAATACAAGTCCAGCAATGTGCTTGTCTGCAATGAAATGACTTAATTCCTTACATCACAGCATCCCAGTGGATCACCCCTTGCTGCATCAAATCCTGCTGATATGATGGTGAAATCAGGAGAAAACTCAGAAGCTGTAAAAAAGATAATTCGGTTCAGAAATCATTAATGGATATAATTTGGTTTGGAAATCAAATCCAAAACATCGCAATTGTGTATACTTAAAGAGCAACCCACACAATATATTTGTCCCAAAATGGACAGAATGGTTCAATAATAAAGTTTACTGTTATCGCACAAGTTCCTTGGTTAGGAAATAACAACCTATAGGAAGCACAACATGCTGAAATGCATATATGTAATCGTTGTCGCCAACTCCACCACGACTCCATGGGACATTCACACAGTATCCTTCAGCCCCCATGGTTCCAACCTGAAGTAGTAATCACTTATATTCATTAGTTACAGTCGAAAACATAATAAAATAATACAAAACTGAAAAGGAAAACAAAAACCAAGTGCAATCAATTTAGCACCTCGTCAGCAGCTCCAGTACCAGGATAAAACTGCCCTCCTTCATGTCTATGTAAGGATACATACAAGACCTAGAGAATGGGATCAACTTATCAGCACTAAAATCTAAATAACCGCACAATGCAAACAAACGGGACCTATTCCAGTAACAGTTTTAACTACTATGTTGCTCACCGATTTGTTCTGATCAAATATTTCTTGTGTGCCATTCCCATGATGAACATCCTGCAGGTTTCATTGAATACTATTTCAGGTTTGAATATTCATCTATATATAAGAAGCTAATGAAACACTGTAATGAGATAACTTCATTAGGGTATAGACCTTACCCAATCAACAATTAGCACTTTCTTAGCCCCAGAAACCTGAGCTGCTAATGCAGCAACTGCTGCATTATTGTGGAGGCAAAACCCCATTGCCTGTATTACACCAGCATGATGACCAGGAGGCCTAACCTGAGTCATTCAGTAATGGTGCGTAACTTTAATAAGAATGAGATTTTTAAAGAGTTCTCATTACATCGATAATTCCGAAACAGACGAAATAAGAGTAAAAGGTTATATACAAGGGCAAAACCATTTTTGGCACGTCCAGAAACAATTGCTTTAGCAAGATCAGCACATAAGCCTGCTGCAAGTCTAGCAGCACGTGCTGAATGTTCATTGGCATATGTGTCAGGAGTGAAATAACTGCCAACCATAAATAAATTAAAAGACAACATCGATAAATCATACTATTACAAATGCAGACAGAGAGAAATGCACAAATAAACTTACCTTGAATACATATGGCCTGTATGGTCAACTGTTTCAATATGCTCCATGGAATGGACCTTTATTTCACAAAAATAGAGACAACAATAAAAAATCAGAGGCCAAGGAAGACAATAGAAATTATAACGGCCATTTGTTTCCTTTTAAAAGACAAACTAGCCACACAAAATCTGTTCGTCATTAGCATCTTGACAGTGCAGAAAAAGGTTTGTTATGAAATGAATCACAAACCCCTTAAACTCCCAAAATCAGAACTCAACTTACAAAGATCCAATTTCCTTAGTCGTGTACATGCACAAAATAGTTACAGGTCAGATGTTTGATGAATGGTTACTTACCATCAGAAGTTCTTCGCGTGTAATTTCTCTAGCAGGAATTGGATGGCACCTTCCAGGAAATATTCCTGCATAGGATGAATTTTCCCATTTGCGTATCAGTCTAAAATAAAATAACACCAACAGCGATTACTAGACAAAGTACTAACAGCACACCAGAGTAAAAGCCCTCAATAATAACAATTGACATGCAAAAAGAACTTCAGTGAAGGTAAATACCGGCTGTAGCAAGGCTAGCAGAAATGGCTCGAATACGATCTGGTCTTTCTGGGTGAGGATGTGACTTCATTTGAACCTGCTCTAGCATAACAACCACCAGAAAAGAAAAAATAAAAGTATTACAAAAACAGAAGTGAGCAGTTTGCCAGTTTCCAACTTACCACATTAATGTCACAAAACATATGTATATTAAATGATTTAGAAAATTTATAGTACATCAAATTTAATACAGTTTGGGTTTTAAGACAAGAATTGACATGAAACTTCTTGGAAAACTGCTTTGTAGATCTCCGCTTAAGTTCTATGTAATGAAGAAAGAACACATATTTGCATCTAAACACAACATACAAACAAAAAAGAACAATAAATGAGAAAACTAAAAGAGTACGAGGAAGACATGTACTACAGCAACACCATACTTCTGAATGTAGCAACATTCTCTCATCGAATCCTACAACTGTGGAACTATTTGACGCTGAATCTTGTGAGCCTGCATTTACCAGAAAATACAAGTAAAAAACAAAACAACACTATTAACGACATATTGATACAAATTTGCAGTCTACCAAAACTCAACATCAGTCTATTTGAAAGGAAATGCTCCACGTTTCCAAGAGTGACATACAATGCACGGCAACCAAAGCAAGCAAGAACTGGAATGGCAACATCAGTATCCAAATGGCGAAAAGAACACTACTGGCTGCTAATATAGCTTGATATTAGCTCTTTTATATTAAGATATTGCAAACATACTATGCTACCGCATTTGACTATGCAATGCACCGAGTCACGACAGACACAAACTTAGATTGATACTGAAACACATGAAGGGCCATAGAACATATCATACTAAACGACCCACCCGCAAACAAATATATTTGTAGGTCAGAATGATGAAATTTTGCTACTATATCTGGAAATGATACTCAAACTTAAGAGGCATAATAATCAAGATTCATCCCAAACAATAACATTAGCCACCAAAATAAGATAAGCAACAAGGCAATGAAAAATCTCATACAGTTTATTCTCGTGAGAATTTTTCAAACACTGCCACACCAACAATTTCAAATAAACTCAATATCCAATCGTGTACCGACCTTTGGGTCTTTCTCTAGTGTCAGACAGAGTCTCAGTGAGGCCAGAATCAAAGGCAGATGCAAAACACCCCTGCTTCAAGATACCAGATTCTTATGTTCCTGACATACCTGCACAGTAATGATAGCACCATCTTAAACAACTACACCTCCTTACAATACAAAAAGATGATATATCAAGGGCAGAATAGTCCTAAAGAACTTAAGGAGGGCTGAACATACTTCGCAATGGTCAACATCACCAAGGTTGAGCATTGTACAATTGGTGCAGAACCACTTGATTACTTCTAAAGGCTGTTGGAAGGGATCCCAATCACTATCATCATCCTCATCGTCGAGGTCTTGGTTGTACATGTCTTCTAATGTCATTTCCTTTTGCTGTGCCGTCTTTTTCTACAAAACAATAAACTTTGATCTCTATTCTCTAAACACAATATTACATGCAATATAACGCACGGAAACTGGTTCAAGAAACTACATTCTTGAATGTGAGTCATAAATCGAAGTGCCAGAGCCACTTACATTTAAAACATCAGTTGGTCCATCTTTTCCGGACACTCCTATATCTCCTTCCCCACAATTTCCCTCATGACACGGTCTAGATTTGGTTCTGTGAGAACCCGAATTTCCACATCTCCCATGAGAACCCTGACATTGAGCTTGATTGTTTGGTTTGTCAAGACTTTTCTCAGCCTCCCCATTTGTTAAAGGACCCATTGAAAGTGATTCTGAGCTAAGTTGTTTTCACAGCGTACATGGGCACTTTCATCCACAATCAATCCTTCAAAAATTCCCAAAAAAGTTCAAAAATTTCATCTATTTTCCCATTTAACTAAGTTAAATTTCACATCTTGCATAATTTACTGTTTCAATTTTGAAAAATTTCTTTAATTGTATTATAAAAAGGAAAACCAAGTGAGCCAAAGGTTCGGTTAGTAGCAGAGATACTTCAAGATTTGAACTTTCTATGCTATACAGTAAATTTTGAGTGTGGGTGTGCGAAAAACCCTAGATTGTACTGAACCCCTATATATAATACATACATGGCATATATGTATAGGTCTGAAATTTACGAACAGAAGGAGGAAGGAGGAGAGGGTGATAATGTTACCTTGGGTAGGACAAAGCGTGGGGATCTTACTGTATCAGCAAATTCCAAGGGAAAGCAAAAACTCAGGCCCAGAAGGTAGCGCCCTATGAACTATCTAAGTGACTGGTTTTTTTTGCAATTATACCCTTGTATTTTGTTGTTTTCGATTATATTTCTCATAAAAAGTTTTGATTTTTATTATATGCCCTAGTCCATGGTCTGCTGTCGGGTGGGCATTTTAGTGGGTCTACCGACCAATCTAACCAATATTAGTTGAGTTGGGTTGAGTTATAAACATTAGAAACTTATTTTTGGATAAATAAGATCACTCATTTTATAGGTGGATTGAGTTAGGGGTTGGGAAGACTCACATATGCATTTTAGCCTACCCATGGTCATCATCGTGCTATTCAACCACACCAAAAATCAAACCTAGGATGTGCTTTGTAAAATACGAGTTTGAATTTGTCTTCAATCACTGAGCCACCTAGTGGTGGTTAAGTTGAAATATTATTAACCCGATTGAAACTGACACACCCGAATGATTGTAATTGTTAAATATACATGTATATTGAATTGATATATATATATATATATATATATATATAAATTTAGTAACTTTTAAATTATTAATACTTTATTTGAATAGTGAAATTTATATATTAAGTAACATGTAGTAATTCTACAAACACCAAAATCACATGGTTTAGGCTAATTAACGTAAATATTGATCTATTTGTCACTAAAACTCATATTAGAAATAAAAAGAAACCAATTAATCCAAATCCATAGAACCTGCCCAACCCAAACCGCCTAACAATGGTTTGGATGGGTTGGTTTGCCTTTTTTCTTAGGTGACAATTGAGTGTGAAGAATTTCAACCCAAGCCTATTGAGTTGGCCACCCTAATTTCGAACTCTATTTCTAGGCATTTTGGTTGAGTTTTAAAAATTCGGAATCTATCCGATGGCCACACCTGTAAATGCAAGTATCTCTCTCTCTCTCTCTCTCTCTCTCTCTCTCTCTCTCTCTCTCTCTCTCTCTCTCTCTCTATATATATATATATATATATATATATATATATATTAAGGAAAGAGATTAGCCTACACCGGTCCGGACCAATCATGCAGTACAATGTATAAATGGCTAAATGCTACCAATGACATTACAGTGGCGTGTCGAGGTGTAGGTAAGTCCTTCTCCAGATTGAGAGGCCCTCCAAGCGTGTGACCAGACCCACATAGATCAAATGTGAACCTCGTGTCCTGATCGGAAGATGAACTGTCACAATCTTTACTGGCCGTTTTTTGACCGAAACAAGGTCACATGCACGAGTGCATGGTGGTGTCCCGACAATACATGCACAAGGCTAATGACTTACATGTAGTTTAAAATAAATTATTTCGTAAACTTAAAAACCTTTAACGTACTAAGTTTATTTGGCATGGATGATATTCCACATGGATGAAATGCAGCATTGACTGTATCGTGTTAGTTCAATTGATGATGCAAAACATAACTAGTATAACAAAATCACCCATAACTATGAGTTCATATCAGCAGAGAAAAAAAATGTCAGTACAGATAGTTCATTACTACACACATAAAGAGCGACCCAAGTCAACATGATTCTCCACTTTACGAAGATTAGAACGAGAATGTCTTTTATACGTAGTCTTACCTTTGCTCTGCAATAGATGCTGTTTTTACGACTTGAATCTGTGACCTTTAGATCACAAAGAAGCAACATTTCCGTTGCTCCAGGACCTTCCCTCATATAGTTAATTACTAAACACATAATACCTAATATTGAAATTGAAAAATGAAAGAAAAAAAAAACGAAGCGATTTTTGGAGGCGAATAGCTCGATTAATACACGAAACACTTTATCCTAAATTCCTAATCATGCCAACAAAGAAGCATAACAATACATCTTCTGAAAACGTAGAACCTTCCTCTTCCTTCTTTAAGAAACCCGCAAAATCCTTTACCCGAAAACCTTCTTTTCGAGGCTTCAACAGGATTACCACTCTTCATCTCCATCTCTCTATTTTCCACACAACTATTTGAACTAGTTCTCCGCTTCTTTCAATATTTTCACTCCTCTGTGTGAACTATTTTTGAATATACGGTTGGAGTTGCATGAGAATTAAGGAGGAGGGAGGAGGGTGGTTTCTTATAGGGAGAAGAAGATAGTGTGGGTTCCAGCCAGGCTCAAAAGGGGGCCCCAGAAAGAGACCAAACATGAAGGATCATCGAGGGATTAGTGAATAGATAATTAATCGCTCTATTACCTCACCGGTCAGCAGTCAATGGTCAAACACCTTGGTTTTTGGGGCCCTAGTCTCTGGGCATGCCAAGTGTCCAACCTAGAAATAGAAGGATGCACTAGGGCAACTAGGAACTACGATCATCTATACATACATATGTAGAGTGTCGATGTCAAGAAATAGATATGGCAAAATGCTGGAACGCGATTTATATGAAATGAGTTTTGTTGTTATTGTAGCGTTTTAGTCTAACAATATATTGTTATGTGGAAAGAAACTTACATAATGTAACACATTATTAAATCGGAGTGTCATGCGACATAAACTCGTCCATGCAAATCTCTCTTCGAAAAGAAGGCAAAATCTTGAGTGCGATAAGTGAGACATCCTCTCTAGTGATGAGAGATAGGGAGAAAGATACTTAGGCGATGATATAATAGAGATTAGAAAATATAGCATCTCAAACGAAAGATACTTCACTTTTTATATGTAAAGAATCATTCCACATAACAGATATAATAATTTGACTAGTGCATAAAATTTTCAGGCTATTATTTTGACGAGTGACATTTGCATGCGCACTAGAAGCTTCTTGGTTCTAAGGGGACCTAACTTAGTGTTAAGTACCATAACTAACCTCAATTATAAGTTCTTAATTGTCAACTTAAGCACTTATTGACATACTAAACTAAAACATGGATGAATTTGTGAACCAAACCCTACATGGCAAATTGACAAAGGACCCAGCTTCTCTTTTCTTTTCTGCTTTCCAATCATCAGAGGACCGGTGGAGCTTTATAAGTTGTGTGGCCACGACAATTGACAATACAGAAGAGAAGACTTACAACAACAATAATAAGTAACAATATAATCAGAATACAAAAACGACATAGCTGTATGGTACGGTCGGGGGCCAGGGCGCACGTGATATTCACCAGAGGGACATGGTCACTGTCCGTGACATGGAAGACAAACTCAAAGCTTTTATTTGGAGGTTTTGATTTGAACCACATTCACCTCTCTACGACTCTACTTCTGTTTTTGATATGAGAGCTTCGGAGCAATTTCCAATTTATAGTTCCCTATGCTTTTTCTAGCTTACCAACCAGATATGAGAAAAACTAGATACATAAATGAAAGCTGGACCCCTATCTAAAGTTGAAAGTGAGTGAACAATGGAAAATGTTCATGGTTGGATTTGAATACCGCCATAGTACTGTATAGTGGAGTTTTATATGGTTTGGGATACGTATACTGGGCACATCACTGTAGCGGTATTTCGAACGAATAACTCACTATCACATAAAAAAGTTCAAACACGTAATATGTTTTGTGTGTTTTGTGTGATTTGTTTGGGATATCAGTATTATGACGTATTACAGAGGTGAGGAAAATGTTTCTTAAGTATGTGAATTGGATGAGAGAAGAGGAAAATGTGATTCTCTAAAGGAGATGAAATTTAATTCTAGAACTTTTTAGCGAGAGATTCCCTTGTCCAACCAAGTTTTAGTTACAGTGGTGTTATCGTTCACTAAACGCTTTCTACGTGTTTAAAAGGTGTGCTGCTCGTCTAATGAACGATTACCACGTGGTGAATTAGTGACATGGAAGAAGAGAAAATCTTAGTTTGACAAGAATCCTAGCCAACTACATTCAAATAACAAATGCTGCATGCATGACCGCAAAAGCCTGATGCCAGAAACTATTCATGAAGAAAGGAGATTTCAGCAGTTCAAGTTAGGCCTACCAGTTTAATTGGATTCGGAGGGCACATTTTGTATGGCTAGACACAGAGGGTACACCTTCAACTTCCTGTCCAGTCCACGATCTTGCACCTGGTTCGAAACTGTAAATTGATGCGTGGGGTTACAAACTATGAATTCCAAGTCACTGTAAGCCGCTAAAACGGATTGAAGATGATGTGGGTATCACAGCTATCTGTTCATTTGTATATACTGTTACATGTACGGAAGATCACGACGCATCGATGCACCTTATCTTATTCTTCATACTTACTAAGACAAAGTAGCACGCCGGTTTCCGATCTAAGGAAAACAAACGCGCGACAAGCGTTACTACTTCAATATTCAAGTACTTACTTTTATACAGGGGGAGGTGAAAATTGTTAATCTTGTAAGAAAATACAAATGATTGTAGAGGGACTTCACTAGCTATGACTTTTTTTTTTTTTACTCAGAAATGAACACATCACCATTCCGAAATCTAAGATGACAGTCAAATCAATTATGTCACTCATTTAGATCATGTAAACGCTTACCAGTGTTACCACTGACATATCGATCGCTATAGTCGAAACTTGAAGGCAATATCCTTCACTAACTTCTCGTTCTCCCGACTTCCTCGCTGTGTATCAACTTGTAAAGCTGCATACCAACAGTTTGTATCAAACCACAGAGTTAGCGAAGCATTACTAGAACGGTACTATGATCCGGCTATAATAGTTACAGTGAATACCTTACTATCCAGAAATTAAATTAGCTACTTAGAAAGAACTGCTATTTTATCACGGTCCATTCAAGGGGCAACAGCTATTTACTATAACGAGTGGCGTAATTGAAAGTCTACTGCTGTATTACAACAAGCTGAATTGAAGTGAGAATTTTTCAGAAGCTGAATATGCTTCATACAAGAACTGAATCCTGACATGGGTTATAAATGGTAAAACTTGGCATGGCCTCACGTAACCAGTTATTTATATAAGAGAATCGCGCGATTTTCACGATATACTTGCAGTTTCAAGTGTGTATTTTATTATTGTTAAATACATCACCCAAGTTTGTTTCCGTAACATCCCACATCGTTCAGGTGAGTAGATCCTGTAAGCCTTATATGTATATTTTCATCTCTACCTAGGCCTTTTGGGAGCTCACTGGCTTCGAGTTCCGTAGGAACTCCGAAGTTAAGCAAGAACGGGGCCAGAGCATTCCCAAGATGGATGACCCACTGGGAAGTTCTGCTCGCATGAGTTCCTAGAAACAAAATTGTGAGGGCACATTCGAGTTCCCAGAAACAAAATCGTGAGGGCATGGTCGGGACCCAAAGCGAACAATATCGTGCTACGATCGAGCCCGGATGTGGTGGGAGCCTGGGCCGGGATGTGACAATTTAGGTATCAGAACCAATCCCTGGCCGAAAATATGCCGATGAGGACGTCGGGCCCCTAAGGGGGTGGATTGTAGCATCCCACATCGCCCAGGGGAGTGGATCCTGTAAGCCTTATATGTATATTCTCATCTCTTCCTAGCACGAGGTTTTTTGGGATCTCACTGGTTTCGGGTTCCGTAGGAACTCCGAAGTTCAGCGAGAATGGGACCAGAGCATTCCTATGATGGATGACCCACTGTGAAGTTTTGCTCCCATGAGTTCCCAGAAACAAAACCGTGAGGGGTTCAAAACGCATCCCAGGATGTGGTGGGGGCCCGGGCTGGGATGTGACAGGTTAAAAACGCATAGTATGAGATTTTCACACATCTCGTTTATCAACGAACATGAGTACTTCTGTCTAAAATGCCCGTTACACTTCCATCCCTATTTTCTTTATCTTTTGACATATTGACCTAAGGCAAAGTGCATGATAATGTTAGTGGCAGGATGATATTAAGGACTTCGGTGCATACGATTGGATTGGACCTCTCACTAAATTAAACAAAAAGAGTAATACGATTGGATTAGAACTTCCTAAACCCTAAACCCTACACACTATTGACACGAGAATTGCTCACATTTCACACTAAGGAGATTAAACACTCATAAACCGAAAAAGAACACGTTAAAATCTGCAAACGAGAGTAAGGTATTTGTACCAGAGTTGCAACTGTTAAGATCTTCGAGAGATATTGGGCCCTTATGGCGTCTCGTACACATTCCGACGATTGGCCGAGCGAATTCCTTCAACAAATGCCAGCCTTGAGTTCTTCAAACCATTGTTCTTCTCTTCTAATAAACGAATTTCATTTTCGAGGAACTGTCGTGTAGTTCGTTAGCGTTACCATTGTCAATGTCCTTCTGAAAATCTAAGCACGATGCGATAACGGAAAGCAGATGAGGTAATCGGAGAACTTACTGACGACGGTAAGCAGTCCGGTGAGTTCAAAGTGCGAGAAGTAGAGCGTCTTGGTGAGGTCGGATTCTTTGGCGGCCAGAGCGCGTTCGACATCGGAGCATTTGACGATCTCTGACTCGATCTCCCGCGTAATCTGAATATTCGCCTCGATTTCTTCGTTCACCTAATTTCACAATTGCAAGAAGTTTCTTTTTTCGATCGATGACGATTGGTACTAAAAAGGGGGAAATTGGGGGAAGTGAAGCGTTGGATGAGATCGGAAATGGAGGATGAGGAGGTAAATACCTGGTCTAGCATGTCCTTGTATGTTGAGATTTGGCAAAGGATCGCCCGGAATCCTCCATTTTTGTATCTTTTCCGGCGACTCTGCGACTCTGTGTGCGTGTTCTCAGTTCAACGACTCTCTGCTTCCAGGTTTCTCCCGCCTTTTTATATCTACAGTACGTTTAAAGTTTATCAAGCCACACGCACCGCTTTAGTATGGCCATGCACACGAAGTTTCTGGTTAACTCCTAATATTCGCTTGGATTAAAAAAAATATG